TCTAGATGTCTGTCTATATTTAAGGTACGATCCGAATAATGAAAAATTAAATTAACTTTAATTCTATCTATATTATTTATTGATTTTTATTTTGTCATTCGAGCCATCAATTTCAACGAAAAATTTGTTGTTAAGTAACGTTGAATAAATTCGAATAAAAATAAATGATAATATTCTCTCTCTCCCTCTCTCTCTCTCTCTCTCTCTCTCACTCTCTCTCACTCTCTCTCTCTCTTTTCAAAGTTTTAAAAGATTCAACGACATCGATTTAAAAAAAAAAAAAAAAATAATAATATCCTCTTGAAAATATTTTCAAATACAACACACGATTTATCTTTCACAATTACAAATACGACGATACTTCCTTCTATACGCGAAAATATTATATGAAAACTTTACGAAATCACTCGTATTATGACCGTGAAAGTAAAAGTAATCGCACGCACATTTATCATCGATCGTACTCTCGATCCCACTTGTTTAAATGTTCACCTTCTTTTTGTTTGTTTGTTTGTTAAGAAAGTTCTTTGTACTTGATCGCGCCAACGCTAAAAATTCAACGTATCTCAGGCGGTAAAATTGGACTTCCATATTAACCTTAGGAAATGTATAATAACTATAATAATTAATAATTAATAATTAATAATAATAATAATAATAATAGTAATAATAATAATAATTATAATAATAATAATTAATGTCCCCTTGTGTGTGTTGGGCGTGTACGTATGTACGGAGCACGAACTACATATCGAAAGTCTAACAAAGCATTAAATCTAAAAGTTCGCTTTTTCGGAACGTCGAACCTTCGAAACCCGGCGTTCGCGATAATACAATAATAATTTGATAAAGTCGATAGAGAAAAATGTTGAAACTTTAAAAGTTATCTTCTTTAGCTTATAAACCTTGTTAATTATTACAAGTTGAGAATATTTCGCGCATATATATATATATATATATATATATATATATATATATATATATATCGCCAGACACGAGAGAATCCGTTAGACTTGGAAGAGTAGGAAGGTCATCGATCTTAAGGATTTTGAACGATAAGCTTACACGATATATATCTCTATCTCATTTTCAAAATTTCTTTTCTTTTATCTTTTTCATTTTTTTTTTCCTCGTCCTCTCGCGTCATCGTCCTTCTTCGGCTAATGTCTACGTAAAGTCTAAACGCTATTTACACCAACTTATTCGTCTATATTTAAAGATGAGGGAAGAATGAGAGTGGGGGTGGGGTAAGGTGGGGTGGGGTGGGATGAGGGGTTGAAAGTAGATGAAAGGAGATGGGGGTTGGGATCGACCGCCAGAGAAGGTTCATGGGCAAGTCAAAAGGGAAGGAAGTATACTCTTTAAAAGCTATCCTACAAAGTATTATAATACAGGATACGCCGTCTCTTTCGTATTATCATCGGCGATACGCGTTATATATATATAACATCTTTGGACTCGATTTATTACACATTTATATAGAATATTACTTATAATCGCTCTTCTCTTCTTTTCATTTTCATTTTCATTTTCATTTTCATTTTTTTTGTTTCTTTTCTTTTCTTCCTTTCTTTTCTCTCATCGATTCGTGTCGAGAGCTTACCGACGACGGCCCGACGATGAAGCTTTCCTTATCCTTTTCGTATTTCAACGTGAAAAGCAAAACAAAATGAAAGGAGCAAAAGAAAGAGAAAGTAATCCATGCTAAAGTGTTTCGCCAGCTTACGTTCACACGATTTCGCATATCGCGGAGTACGACTTACCCGCATTTCTCTCTTCTTTTAGCGATTTTCGCACTGTTCCCTTTCTCTTTCTTTCATTCATTCATTCATTCATCCATTCATTCATTCATTCATCCATCCTTCCATTCATTTATTCATTCATTCTTTCTTTGTCTTCTATTCATCAGAACAAATTTCCTCGTCATTTTTTTTTCTTCTTTCTTTTTTTTTTCACTTGTGGAAGACGAGCGCTTTGCACTGCTCAACGAAAGTCATCGTGCTTTCATTTTTCTTCCTTTAATTTTCTTCTCTCTCTCTTTCTCTTTCTCTCTATCTCTCCTCTCTCTCTCTCTCTCTCTCTCTCTCTCTCTCCCTCTCTCTCTCTCTCTTTAACTTTCAATCTATTTTAAGGGCAAAAAAAAAAAGAAAAAAAGAAAAAAAAAACAGAGAAAGAGGAAGAATTCAAACGTATCTTGAGATTCAATTATTAGTATCCATCTCGCACGATCGAGCTCGTTGCTAACTTCGGACTTGATGCTGCATCTTTCCTCGTCCGTCGATAATAATGATCGATTGAAGATCTACGTGGCAAAAGACAAAATGTTTACGAAGTTGCGCCGCTCCCGTGCAATTTCGAACTTCGCCATGTCTCTCCTAATTCGTTCTTTACGAAACGTTTATTGAGAACGTTTCTCGTATTTCTCGACTTTTCGATCCCCGACGAAAGGAAATCAGCATTAAGAAAATTAACTATGGGACGGCCGGGTCTCGTTGCTCGGCATGCTCGTCGATTGTTTATACCGCCGACACTTGGGCGTCCTCGTCATCTGGAACATTTCATAGATACTTTAGACGATTTTGATCGATCGAAGGAAAGAAAGAAATAAAGAAAGAAATAAAGAAAGAAAGAAAGAAAAAAAGAAAACGCTCGACGAATACATATATATATATATATATATGTCGTCGCGCGAGAAAATGCTTTTCGATATTTTTTATTTTTTTCTATTTTTTTTTTTTTAATCTCTGTCGTTTCTTATTACATTTTTCTTTTTTTTTTTTTTCTTTTTTTTTTTTATTTTTTATTTTATTATATTTTATTTTATTTTCAAAAATTTCAACGACGATCTTTTTAAACGTCATGACAAAAAATCGGAAGAGGGTACTATAAGATCGATTTTACAAGCTGCGTCTCGTTAACTACGTATCCACGTCTCCGAAAACAAGAGAAAATAAGAAGAAAACGAAAAAAAAAAAAAAAAAATTGAAATCAAAAATTATAATCGAGACCGTCGAATCGAGAGACGCTAGGATCAGGAGGGGAGGGGTGGATGAAAGGAAAAGACGTGCAGATTGGGCGCAAGCAAGCGAGCCATGCCGCGGCGTCATCACGCAAATAGGAGAAAAAATGATACGGATAGCTCCTCTTCTGTGTTCGTTGTGTGTTCTCATGTATATATATATATATATATATATATATATATATATATATATCGCTGTTAACGACACTCGTGAATGTGGATAAATATTTTTCGCGATAAATATTATATGAAGGCAAAGAATGCAGGAATGAGTACGATCATACAGGAATAATTCATACGATTTTCGGTGATGGGTGGACGATGCGAGGTAGGATAAAAAAAAAAAAAAAAAAAGAAAAAAAGAAAAAAAAAAACAAAATTATTCGTGATAAGTATGCATATTGAGATGCTTTCAATGGGATGCAATATGGTGTAGTGTACGATGCTCACACACAAAAGAAAAAAAAGAAAGAAAAATTAACAAGTAAACATAAAAAATTAAATCTCTCATTAACGAGTTATAGGCAAGCAGCATTTTGTGTTGACAATTTAACACTTTTGGTTTAGCAAGGAATTATTTACAAAACCGAACGAGGTCGTTCGAACGATACGTTTCCACACATATAACATAATATTTGTGATGAAATTATTATATTATTCTCTAATCGATTGATAACGTAGTAATGTTATATCGATGGACTCACATTAGTTCGCCTTTCTATAAAAATAATTTTAATAACTTTGTTCGATGTACAAGATGAAGAATAGTAACTAAATAACGATTTAAACTGAGGACTTCGTGAAACGTAATCGGAGGGTAACCTTGTAAACGAATACAAACGAAAAAAAAATATTTCAAAGAAAAAAAAGAATAAATAAATAATAAATTAATTTAATCATATATATATATAGTTCACGCAACTACTAATTACATACGTTTCTTACGTTATCTCAATATCTACCACAATACTCGTATCATCTCGCTGATGCTTTATTAAGTGCATTATATGTATAGGTATATATGTATATATATATATATATATATGTATATATATATATACATACACACACACACACACACACACACACTGTAATTATCAACTGCAATCGACTATCAGACTTGATAACTATAGACAAGCCCAAAGCATCTCTACGGAGCTCTACGAAACAAACTACGATTGAATAAAATTCCTTCGAGTCGTAAACGATACACAACGCCTTTCCATTGTTGTCCTTCTCCGCATTTTCAAAGTTACCCTTCCGTTGTAAATGGCTCTGAAAATAACTTGTCTCTGAAGAAAGTCGGAACTGTGTCACGAGTAAGATGGAAAAGATAGAAAGAATAGAGAAATCTCATTGATCGATGATCGGAGCCGATCGTCGTCATATATAGAGTATGTAGAGAAAGAGAACGAAAGTACACATACATTTATATATATTTATATATATATATATATATATATATATATATATATATACGTTCGTATACATTCGTAAGAGATCATTCTCGTGAATGAGAAAGTATGAAAATAAAAATGATAGACGAATAATACACGAGTAATATAGAGAGACACGTGTAAAAGTGAACGTAACCAGTCACGTAGACGCATTTATTTATGTAAGAAAAAAGAGAGGCGCGAAAGTAGAGGGTGCGAAGTATTCGATTGTGTGTTGTAGTACCATCTTCGTGATCGGTCCGATAAGTAACTCCTTCGTGGCTGTGAGCACGGCCGAGCCTGTGTAATCTTGCCATCTGCGCTGCGACTTTGTAAGCCGGTGGTTGGCGGCACTGACTACCACCCATGCCGGCCAGGCCGGCTCTCATCGACGCGTTCGACGTCATCGTCGTCATGGATGTAAGGTTCGTCATAATGGTCGTTGTCCCTGCGCTTGGTGGGCCCTGGACTCCGGCCAGACCGGAACCTGAAAACCCTCGACTTTCTTTCTCTCGATTCTCACCACCAGCAAAGAAACAACAACAACAACGCAAAAACCTACGCCTCCCTATCTATTCTATTTATTTTCTTTTCTTTTCTTTTTCTCTATTCTCCATTAGTATCGCCAGCAAATCAAATCAAAAACCATTTCGTAATACCATGTCGAATCGTCGAACAAATCCGCGATCGGGATCCATCGATCCGTCGAGCGTGTTTCTTACTGTAACGACCTTAAATCTCTATTCAATTTTTATAATTCTCAAGCTGATGGTTAACTTATTCCTTAGGATAGAAAAATGCGTGATCGATAAGGAACATTAAAAATTTATTCATACGATAACGGAACAATTTAGTTTAATAAAATACAAATAAGAGATTTCTTCCGCCATTTTCTCGAAAAGTATGTCAAACCGGTTAACTTCTTTATGGCTCCCCGAAGTTCCGTGAGTTAGCCGATACAGTTACAAGTTCTTTTCAATTATATAGGCCAATATATCCAATTACAAAAGTCGTAACAGAGGAATCACGCTAGCTCGAGATCGAAATCGGGAATAAGCGAGCGGATTTAACCGCCAACGCTCGCCACGATTCACCGTTGTGTCCGACCAACAAAACAGAAAGAGAAAGAAAGAGAAAGAGAAAGAGAGAGAGAGAGAGAGAGAGAGAGAGAGAGAGAGAGAGAGAGAAAGAGATATAGAAGAAAGAAAGGAGGTGATTAAAAAAAAAAAAAATCAAAAAAAAAAAAGAAAATACATGGAAGGAGACCAACGCGTACACGGAAAACCGTTCTCCACGTGGTTAGTACCCTGAAAAGAAGGCTTCGTATTCCGTTAAAGAGACCGAAGAGAGCATGCACCACGCAGAGATAAACAGTAAAATACCGAGATGCAACACGTTGCAATTTTCTATAATAGCACGTAACCAGCAGCACACAAGCAAAAGGCGCGCGCAAGGCAAGCAAGCGTATACGTATAGATACATACATATATACATACATACATACATAATGCAATAATGTGATGGGGATGCACTAGCATTCCTTCGGCAGCTATAATTTTATCATACAGGTATAGTTAATTTGTTATGTAAGCTACCTTTTTCCTTTTTTTTCCATTTTCTTTTTTTTTTTACAATCAATCAAGGTCCACATTATAATATCGCTCATTATGATGCATACAAACGAACAACACGTTGGCTATTTGAAAACATCCCTACAACATCGATTTCAATATATGGTAATGATCATTAAGCTCGTTAAAAAGTCTATACTCGAATTAAAAATATAGTTATATTATATGTATATATATTTTTTATTTTTTTTATTTTTTTTTTTTGAGCCCATGTTCATTGCAATCATTAGAGCGATTTATTTGAAATGAAATATATGGAATTGAAAGGAAATGATAGAATGAGAATATGAGAAAGAGAGAGAGAGAAATAGAAAGAGAGGAAGGAGAGAGAGAGAGAGAGAGAGAGAGAGAGAGAAATTAAGAAAATAAAGATAAAGCGCAATAGCAGCATGAAAGAGATAGCAGGTAGACGCAGCAGACTCACCTTGAGGGGTTTGGGGTTCGTGATGGTGATGATCGTGATAATGTTGGTGATGATGATGATTGTGGTTGTGATTCTGGTTGTGGTTGGCAGGAAGCGGAGGTAACACTGCTACAGCGTGAGGAAACGGTGGAGCACCACCTCTCATAATTGACCCTGCACCATACACAGAGGCCACATACGATTGTTTTCTTTTTAAACTATCTTTTATTTTTTATTCTTTTCCTTCTTCTTCCCCTGTCTTTCTCCTCTTTCTCTTCAATGTTATAAATCTCTTTTTTTTTTTCCTTGGATTTTGTATATACAGGTATACATATATGTACATGTATGTATATATATATATATATATATATATATATATATATATATATATATATATACATAAACAAATAGACGGATAAAAGCATGAACCACTTTTTGGATAGCAAATGTAAATGAGAAATGAGACGGCCGCGCTCTTTTTTCGTTTCCCGTTAATAAAAATGACGGAAACGTATAATATATTACAAAATATTTTTTTCAAGCGCACGAGAAACGGCAGGTCGTTTGTGCTATACAAAAGCTGAATGTTGTAATAATATTAAAAAAAAAAAAAAAAAAAGCTAAAAGCGACAATTTACGCAAGCTATTTTCAAGATGTATATATTAAAAAAACGATTGAAAAAAAAAAAAAAAATAAATGCGAATATACAAGCTGCACGTTCCTTTGTTCTTTTATCGATATTTCCAATACAATAATATTAACGAAGTTATTATACCAATAGTACTACGCGCTAATGAATGTCCCCAATGTCATCAAATTTACAAGCGATATATACATACATACATACATATACATACATATATACATATATACATACATACATACATACATACATACATACATACATACATACATACATCCATACGTTTTAAAGTTCCGAAATTGTAAATATATAATTGCAAAAAATAAGTAAATTATTCTATTTAACTTTCGTTTCTCATCTACGAAAAAGACGTAACATCTTTATTGACTTAATTTGAGAGAAAAAAAAATAAATAAATAAGTTGAGAACAATTCGAAACGCATGCTTTTAAAAACACTCATAAACGAAAAAGACATACGTATTTTATATTAAAACCTTTTTTTTTTGTCCATATTCAGATAAAAGACGTAGAATGAGCTTGTAAATTTGATGATAAGATTTAAAATAAATCCTGTACACACGTATATATACATATGTAACGATGATCGAACTTCTTCACGAAGGTGAGAAAATGAATGATGTACGGGGGGCCATGGGACATACGTTTCTTCGAAATTAAAGCTCGACCAGATCATTAAAATTCGACGAAGGATTCATATAACAGGGGGGGGGGGGGGAAATACTTTTGACAAAGGATAAATATAAACATTAAAAAACGATCGATATTAAATTAATAATTAAAACGTTTCTACAAATCATCATACGCGTTTCCTCAATACGTTACCCGTGTCCGCGCATTAAACGTGAAAGAAAATGTTCGAATGATTAGATTCAAAAAGAAAAAGGAAAAAGAGAAAGAAAAAAAGAAGAAAAGAAAAAAAAAAAAGAAGAAGAAAAAAGAAAACACAAGATTCTTCATGTAAATATGTAATTCAAAAGTTTCGTGTAATAAACATAGCCGTTCTCTTTTACAATACCATTGAGATCCTTTGATCTTTGCATGTATCATAGAGTTGCAAAATTGAGCAAATAAATGCGAGGACACGTGTGTCGGACGAGTTGACGCGTCGATATAAAACAAATTTTCATGATAATAAAGGGAGATGGGGGCGCGAGGCTGGACGGGGGGAGGGGCCCGATAAGGTAGAGGAGAGCAATCATCGAAGACGAAAGTTTTTAAAGTTTTTCGATAAAACAAAAAAAAATAAAAAAAAGAAAAAAAAAGAAAAAAAAAAAAAAAAAAAAGAAAGGATAAATCAATGAAAAAATAAGAAGGCAAAGACTTATTTAACGGTGCATTAATTTTTCTCTATCATACGATAAATATATCGTGTATTATAATGTACGGTATGAAGGAAAAAAAGGGGGAGAGAGGGGGGAGGGAAGAAAAAAAAACGAGAAATCGTAATTTCAATGTAAAATCTTTAGTGACTGAAAGGTGACCGTTATAGAGTAGATTATATCGGGCGTTAAATAAGTCTCTCTCTCTCACATCTAACGAGAACAGTACCACAACTCGTTTCTAAGAATACTTTATACTCACTACACGATGCTACGGAATGGAGGACGATAAAGAAGTCACGAGCACAGGATCGTTCGCCTTCCTTATCACGTAAAATTACGTACCTTGCATGGCGGAATGCCGTCTTTGCGGTGGTGGCGGACTGCCACCTGCCTCTACGCTGCTTCCACTATGACTGTCCAGTTGAGTACTGTGACCGCTATCACTGCTCGTCACTGAACCTACGCACACGTCCCCAAGACACTTCCATCACTAAACACGTTCGAAATATCCAAGTCCCGTCCTGCTGCGGCCGCTGAACGCGCTCACTCTTTTTTCTTTCTTTCTTTTTTTTTCTTTTCTTTTTTTTTTTTTTTTTTTTTTGCAATTTTCTCTTTTCTCTTTTTATCTTATCGAATCGATTCTCTTTTTCTTGAGCGCGGGGGGTGGGGTAGAAGGGTCAGAGATGGGGAAAGGTCATCCACGCGCGCGCACACGCACGCTGCTAGAAGCAATTACTACTCTAAGCTTTAACAAAAGAGGCAGAGACAAGCTCGATTATAGTAAGAGATCCTTTCGATTTCTCAATAAATTCTATAATACACTACGTTCTAATTTGCAAATATCAAAAGAGAAAGATATATATATATATATATATATAATAAAATTAATTAATAATTAATTTATCAATATGACAACTACTATATATATATATATATAGTATTAGAAAAGAATGGATATAATACTCATCGATGAGATCTCAAAGCCGTCTCTCGTTTAATAAGTTGACGTAGATACGCGCGTGCCTCTCATCTCAAATAATCTTTTTTTCTCCTGAAAACGAACGAAAGACGTGAATTCACGCGATTTCCTCGTATGTCCCATGGTCAAAAAAGAGAGAAAGAGTAAGAATGAGGGAGAAAGAGAAAGAGAAAAAGAGAATGAGATAGAAATAGAGTTAGGAAGGGAGAAAAAGTATTCTGGATCTGAAGCGAAGAAAATCAAACGCTTCGTATTGGGATAAGGATCGAGGTGATTTTGTTACCTAACGGCTGATCGATAAAAAAGCGCGAGCTACGGTAATAATACGGCATAACAATATGCGTGTGTGTGTGTGTGTGTGTGTGTGTGTGTGTGTATGTATGTATATATGGATATAAGAAACTAAATAACATGGAACATTTATGAATTGCGTAAACGGCTGTGCAGCGTGCAGACAAAATGGACTTCCTCTCGTTACGAGACCTGACCAAGTGTATGTTACGAGCAATGATAAGGTGCGTGGATGATTGGTTATGTCGCGAGATGCATGCCCGTTATATATATGTGTATATATATATATATATATATATATATATATATCGTGTAGAATAGCAACTTTCAAATCGAAACTGTCCAAGTTTAAATTTTCATTAACATTCATCGAGTAACTTTCGTTCCAAATATCGATTCGCTCGTTTCAACGTTCCTATATTATTAACGAACAATAGTTTAATTTGATATTAATATCTCCTATAATTATAAATTTCGTGGAAACATTTTCATACATAATTGGCAATACGGTAATTGATTTCTAAAACAGTTTCACAATGCGATTACGCATAATGGTTATTATTAGATTAAAAGTTGCCTTGAACGTAAACGCATGTAATATGATTTACGAAGTGAACGAGGAATTGAAGAAACATTGGACAGTTGTGATTAGAATCAGCGAAGAGTATGAAATAAACGAACGATATGAAAAATTTTGAATAGCGTGAAATATATACGAAAATAATGTCTACTTTGCTAATACTTCTCGGCAGCATCTCGTTCCAAACCATTCGAAATGGATACGATAGATCTAACTTACCGCTCGTTAAAGTTTTCCGTAATGGTTGAAGATTACTCAGACTTGTGACACTGCTACTCTCGGCACTGAGATCAACCGGTGGTGGTAAACTCGAAGGTGTATCACTGTGCGATCTTTCGTGCATCGGAACTCTACTACCAGAACCAACTCTTCTCGGTGCACCAGGACTTGGTTCAAGTCCACTAGAGTGCAATGCCAATCCAGGTACTGGAAGGGGTGGTGGACAATGTTTAGGTTGATACGGTCGAGTTTTGTGAGGATCTGAAAGAGCCAACATCTTCCTTACTGCCTGAGGTGAGGCAGCTCCGAACTTTGTACCTAAGAAAAATGAAATATTACGGATATCCCGTTTAAACGATATAAACATGTAGAAGAATGTCGTAATTATGTAAATAATGACGTAATCAAGGAAGTTTTCAATCATTTTATAAAGACAACCGACCTTGTATGCTCTTTCTTCCCTCGCTCGTGCTACTGGCACTACTCGTAGTTGAAAGCGTGGGAGAAGGATGCCTTCTCCCTCGACTTCCAGTGAGTGGTACCGCTGCAGCAATGGCGACAGCACCGGCATGAGGTTCGCAATCGACGGAAAGTGCGTGCAATCGTTCCTCGTCGGTAATAACTTTCATATTAGCAAGATATGCCTTTACTCTTCGTACCATTTGTGCTTCTTCGAACATTTTCTTCGGATTTGGTGCCGCTGCCGATTTCTTACGTCTTTTAACCGTTGCCGTTTGACCACCTATACGTTTTTACGAATTTTATTAATACGCAAACGTATACTTGCAAACGAATAACATCATGACATAATCAATTAAATTCTTTTCCAAAGATTATCCTGTTATATTATATACCTTGATTACCCGTTGTCATTTGATTCAATGCTACCATCGCGGAACTCGGTGGTTGTCCACCTCTTTCCAACATGGTCAATAGATCGTACGGAGACGAACACATATTCGTCAATGTTCTGACCTCTTTAGCGATCATTCTGAGCTTTTCGAAATTCACTAAACCTTCTACTCTAGAATCGTTACCCAGATGAATAAAGGTCAAATCTTTTTTGACTACAGGATAGAAGGGTATCTATGTGATACACAAAGAGAAATATAATCGATTAATATAATGCAACGCTTTCGAAAAAAAGAAAAAAGAAAAAATAAAAATAAAAAAAAAAAAGAAAAATTGTAAATATATTTATAATAATTGCTTACGATCGGTGGTTGCGTTTGTTCGGACGCTACTAGTTGACGATATTTACTCATGTTACGACTAGGATCCATTAACTCTTGTAAATCACTGAATAATCTCTGATATTTACTTGGCAGTTTTTCCCAAGATGCTCTCAACCTCGACACCGCGCCATGACCAAGACCAGATACAATTGCGAACATAGAATTAAAATTTTTACACTCTTTGCATTGTCCTATAAAGGGAAATCAGATTAAAAATAAATCAAGGGAAAAATTTCAATTATAACCCAAGTCCTCCATATAGTATATCCACGGAGGGTTTAAAAAAAGAAAAAAAAGAAAAAAAAAAGGAAAACTTACGAGCTATTTTTATAAATTGTTTTATAATCTTGCTACGGCGTACAAGATTGTGCTCGGAACAAACTTCCGTAACGACCCAAAACATTTCTCTATTGACTAGCTCCGCGAACTGACTGAGCATTGGTATTCCGTACCTGCTCTTTAATTCAAATAAATCGTCCACATATTCTGTAGATTCAATTTGTCTGTAAAATATACAACGATTATCTCCTGATATGATATAAAAGAAAAAAAAAAAAAAAAAAAAAAAAAAAAAAAAAAAAAAAAAAAAAAAAAAAAAAAAAAAAAAAAAAAAAAGAATAAAAATAAAAATTCGATATAATAATAAAATAAATATTTCATAGAGATAAACTCACCTAAATATACTAAAATCCTGTAGAGTTAATTGGATGGCTACCTCTACAGCATTTAATTGTAGAAAATGTACTTGAGATTCACGTATAAGTTCAGGCGCCTGTTCGTCCGCTACTAAAGTTTCTGATATACCGTTAGTCTTTAAATAATAACGCGAACTTAAACCGATTCTTTCTGCAAGATTTTGCAGCTGTTCTGGTAATCTTCGCTGCTTGATCATCCCACCTTCACCAACACTTACTTCCGCCAAAGAGAAATTCGAACTACTTTCGGTGATACCAAACTCCTGTAGCGCGAGCATTACCACCTTGAAAAAAAAAAAAAAGAAAAAGAAAAATGAGCGACCAATATTAAAACTAATCGCATTATATAAACGTGATGTTCTTTTTGATATAACTCTAATTACCTCATGCGCCGTTGTCTCTTTGTGAATGAGAAGATATTTACAAGTTTGATCAGCCTTGTAAACCTTTAATACGTGTTCCGGATAATCTGGTGCTCTAAGATCATCGTAACAATATAATGATGTAAGATCAGGATTACTTTTCGAATGATATAGATTAGTTGTAGTTTGTGAACCGCACGTTCCTGGCGGTGTATGTGGTGGAGCGAGAGGATCATCTAAGTGCACACCATCGCTGTAAAACAGAGAATACAAATCATCAAGTTTTAAAAAATATTTTTAAAATGAAAATATATAAAGTATATAACATAATCATATCTTATAATACTAACTTGATTGTATTCTTTGGCAGTATATTCATTTTCATAAGTGCTTTTTGTAATCTCCGTTTAGGTCCAAGAGTCATAAATCCTTTATGCTCCTTTTTAGCATCCTTACAAGGAGAAACATTACTATCTGCTATTAAGAGATGTACTCCACCTACTAAAGGATTCAAGGGATTTACTGGAGTTATAGGATCAACATGAGTAGAGAGTCTTGCGCGTGGATCAGATTGAAGTCTAGGAATTTCTGGCTTATTTGCCCTTCCTCTTGGCCTTGGAGAATTATCCGGCATTTGGAGCATTTCTTTGAAAGCTAAACAGAAATAATCAAACGTTAAAAAATGATCTATATTTGAGGATAATTATTTTCTTATATAAATCTTACCAAGAAGATTAGATTTTACGGTGATACTGAGATGAGTCGAACTCCTTAAAATTTCCAATGCTTTGGCATGATTAACATGTTCAAAGCTTTGCCCGTTCACTTCCAAAATTTGATCGCCACGTTTTAAACCGACATCCTCAGCCTTCGATCTCTTATCAACTTTTGAAATAAAAATTCCAAAACCTCTTTCATAACCACCTAAAATGCTAAAGTGGAGAATTTCATCTCTGTTAGGCCTTGCTAATGTTACATTCCGCGTCCTTGCTTTTGCCGCGCAGGCAATATTTAATAACCTAAAAATTTCCAATATAAGAGATATGTATTTTTCAGGAAAAAAAAAAAAAAATGTATATAATCATATACTTGCGATAATGATATGATAAACTTATCGTCTCACCTTTGTTGACCCTGCATTTTTTCTCTTTCCAATCCAGCTTCAAAGGCTTCTAAAAATTCCATCATAGCTGGATCCGTTTCAAAATCCGTAAAATGATTATTTACCCAAAGTAATACAACACGCGCAACACGATCTCTGACCTGAGCTTGGTCAAACCACTCTAATAATTGGCTCGCAACTAATAAAGGGCTATCGATAAAAGTTCGATGAGTTAATAAAAAATCTTCCACATAAGTGGGATCCGTAATACTGTTTTCTTCGATAAGTTGTAACATTAAACGCTCGGGGGTTGCTCTAATCACTACATGACCCCGGCGTACACCACCATCCAAGGCGCCTCGTAATTCTGTAACTAATGTCACCCTACCATTCTCTTCGTGTCTTCTCGTATTTTCTTCACCTTGATGCTGAATTCTAAAATAATCTGCTTGTGTGACACACACGAATTGGCAATCGTCACATCTAAAACAAAACTCTCATTCTTATATCTGTAAGAGATCATAAAGAAATTATATTTTCTATAACTAATCTCTATACTCACTTTGTCCTCATAACACCTTGATGCAGAAGTCGATCCATGGTAGGTAAAATACCAAAACTATCTCCAAGATGAAGCTGTTCCACCTCGCCATTACTGTGTTCAATTTCAACAGTACCGTTAATGAGTACACTCCAACTATCCAATTCTTCTCCATCATTTAATACAACCATGCCAGCTCGTTCAACCACTGCAAATACCATGACAGCGCACAGCGCTCTTCTTACAGCCAGTGTCATATTGGTGAAGGCCTTTAGTTGTTGTGTAAATTCTAAAAGTGTCTCTATATCTTCTTCTGTTCTTTCCACAGGATCTTTTTCTAAACATTCTCGTACAGCATCACGAACATTCAAACTCTAAATAAGTAAAGAACATTCTTATTTAATATTAACCCTCATACAAAACTATTTCAATTAGAAAGATATTAACAAGACAACGATACATACATCCATACTCTCAGCCAAATCTTCTTCCTCATCGCTGTCTACTATAGACTCAACAAGACCAGAAAGATCAACCTCGTCTGCGTCCGCATCCAAAGAACTTTGTACAGATGTCATTGTGTCTGAGCCACTGTACGCAGAACTTGTATCACTTGAATGACTACTCCTATTGGATTTTTGATACAGCTCTGGCCTACCTGTCAGGCCTTGCGAAAACTGAAAACAAAATAATTTCATAATATTTAACAATTAATCTTGAAAAATATCCATAAGTATGAATAATATCAATATAAAATTATATCTATTTCTACAAAGGCAAAGAGAAATTATCATTAATTTTGTCTGGACTTTTTTTCATCTTTCCAGTTCAATTAATCTAACGTTGTAAAAAGTTAAAACAAACTGTTCACGAGATCTTTTCCAATTGAGAAATCAAGTTAAGTGAACAACTATGTTCTTGTGTACTTGCAAATAACAGAAGAAAAGAATCCTAATCCGATATAGAATTGCAAGTGATAACTATTCTTTAAAATACATTTTAATATAAAATCTTAGTGAAGTAGACAAAAAAAAAATAAAAGAAAAGGAAAACGAATAATTCTCCTTTTATGTATTCTCCATCTGTCAAACGTATCGATAAAAAAAAAATAAAAAAATAAAAAAATAAAGAACCTGTCATGTTAGGCATAATTTCTGAAAAAAAATTAACACCGTAAATCATTGTTGTTGTCTCTCATCGGAATGCACAAAAAAATGTTTTTTTTTGTTTTGTTTTTTTTCATGGTATATACCATAGGCACGTTAAGGAAAATACCAGGAATGGGCGTGATTGGGATGAGCTGGTGTTAAATATGTTAGGTTAGGTTTCTGTAAAGATATGACATCACGCATGCAACGAGAAGAAGATGATGATGATACAGACGCGCCGCCGTTCACGCATACAGGCGCGCGTGTCCAAACAAAACGTCGCGACATCTGTCATCTGGAGGAACGCCGTCGTGCCTCGCCGTACCATCATCACGGTCACGTCTCTCAAAAGAGATTCGTCGTATGATCGACTAATTACGAGGTCATTTCGATCAGACTCACTTGATACATGCCAAAGGCATCCATGGTGTTTTCGTAACGACGATGATATTCCAATCGAGTCAAGGAACTCAACCTTTTTCCTTCCAAAAAAGAACGACAGCTATTAACTAGCCGTTCCCGTTTCCTTATTAAACGACTTTGCCTTCTCTGCTTATTCTTTCTTTTCAACACTATCGAGTAATAGTTATTTCACGATTAAATATGATTTAAGATATATCCATAAAAAACGTGGACATCTCCGATGTAAATTCTAACGCGTCGTCGTTATTAACAAACGTTCTTCCCTTGATGAAAGGTACGACGACAATAAAAATATCAATGCCATACGCGTGTTTCTTTTCTCCCGCGGTCCCCGAACACAGTCCTGATACACACCCACGAGAGAGAAAGAGACAAGGCTCTTTGTGCGCGTTCCGTACAACTCGTGGCGCGAGTAATAGTATCGTGGCCTCACAGGCCGTCGACTTAGTGCAGCGAACATGGGACTGCGGTTCCTTTCCTTCGGAGACGCGACCGATCGACTTCGGCCGCCTTCGACGCTTTTCGGCCTTCGTAGGAGCGCGCGCGCGCCATCTGAATGGAAATTTCGATGCAGCATGCCGCAAGGCGGGAAAAATCGGTAAAGCAGACTACTCTTTCGGGGGCTTGGTGGGGCTGGAGGAGGGGAGGGGAGAGGGAAGAGCAAGTTGTTCCTTTTCTTTTTCTTTCCTCTTTTTTTGCTTCTTTCCCGGGAAAAGAAATTTTACGCGAAATTTTATTTCTTTTCTTTCTTTTTTTTTTTGTTTTTCTTTTTTGTTTTTTTTTGTTTTTTTTTTGTTTTCTTTTTATTCTGTCTCTTCTTTACTCCCCTATTATGAAGAAGAAGAAATTCTTTTTTCAATGCGCGAATAAAATAATACAATCAAAATAAAATAATTCTCGTGTGACTCGATAATGCAACAGAATGAGCGTATGATAGATAATGTTGTGAAATAAGGGGAGGCAATAACGTAAGAGAGGCAATATATCGATCCGTGTCACTACGTAGTTAATAGTTTTGGCATCTGAAGCGTGTATAACTGTCTCATTGGAACGGAGAAGAGTTGCTACTTGCCCGCTCCCATCCTCTCTCTATGTTTTCGTCTCTCGACCCCCTCCATCCCACTATCTCTCTCTCTTTCTCTCTCTTTCACTTCTCTCTTTCTCTCTCTTTCACTTCTCTCTTTCTCGTCGTACCACCGCCCCTCCCCCCACCCTCATTCACTGACATTCCCTTCGAGAGCGCGGGAGATCACGTGACCCGACCAACGAGAGTATTGGCCACTCAGGTCCGTCTCAACGGGGGGTGCCCTTTAATGGAGGGTGCCACCTGTAGCTTCCGAACATTCTCCGGGCTCCCGATAGCAATAGCAATATTTTTTTCTTCTTTCTTTTCTTTTTCGCTTTTTCTTCAAAATGCCTCGATCTTTCATTTCTAAATGTAACAACATACCCTTTATATCTATTTATCTACCTATCTGCCTATCTATCTATCTTATCTATCCATCTATCTATTTATCTCTCTTTCTCTCTGTTTCTTTTTTTTTTCCTTTCTTGTAGCACAGTCCAAAGAGAAACAATTGACGATTCTATATCAATTGACAATTTTTTTCAAGTAAAAACTAAATTATTGTACGAAAGAATATATATATATATAAATATATATATATATATATAAATATATATATATATATATATATATATAAATATCCGTTTTAGTGTAAATAGATTACACAACTTTCAGATAATTCATTGGGAGAACGTCGATCGAAACTTAACTGCGCCGACATAAAGTTTTTCACTTAAAACTTTCCAATCAAATTCTCGTACGTCCATCAAAAAAAGATGAATTCGTCGATAGTTCGAATCTCGGATGAATAATTTTTCAATCGTGGTTCATGGACGTTGACGAGTTAACGGAGAAACGAAGGAAGACGACGATAATAATGACTTCGATTGGTTTTCGATTTTTTTTCTTTTCTTTTTTTCTTTTTCAATGTCTAATAATTAAAAAAAAAAAAAGAAAAAAAAAACACACACACACACAGAAGAAAAAATGAAAGAAAGAAAAATGAATAACGCCTGAATAAACCTTGCTATTCTAAGAGAGAGATCGATTTACAAACGCAAAACACGTACGGAGAAATGATATATATCTCATTGACAATCATGAAACTGATAAAATTGAATTCGTAGAAATTAACGAGAGCTAGCGAGAATTATCGAGCAATTTATATACATCTCAGTCGTCGTATTAGAATAACTTGATTATATTACAATGAGTTTAATTTAACAACGACACCTGAATTGATCTTGATAATCTTGTCTTCTTTCGTCGGAAGTTAAAGAGTTAGTGTGTTACTCTTTGCTAGGCAAATGCTATTGTGTGAAAGGAGCTTAAGAAAACCGAGGTTGGTCAATCGACGCTCGCTCTGCTTGAGGGAGGTGCGAGAAGGAGAGAGGATGGATACGAAAGCATAAGAGAAAGAGAGAGAGTGAAAGAGTGAGAGAGAGAGAGAGAGAGGGAGAGAGAGAGAGAGAGAGAAAGAAAAAGAGAGATTGAGAAGAGAACGTACACCGGTCCGCTCAAAGCATCCAGCAGCAGCCAGCAAGCAAGCAGCTCGAAGAATGAGCGCTCAAAGGCCACTGCCCGAGAGCCGTATGATTTATACGAGCCGTTATATCTCGCGTCTCTCGGCTCACTTTTCCCAATGTCCCATACTCTCTTTAAAGAAATAGAAAAACTATTTCGTATTGTCAAAAATTGTCCGATTGAAAAGAGACCGTCCAAATAATATCCTCGTACTTATTATTCTATCCTTTATCTTTCGTTAAACAATCTAATGGCACCGAGAGTATGATTGTGTTTCTCCAAGTTATTTCCTCGCTTGAGCAATACCAACGAGAATCCTTCTTCGACAGGACTATGCTGAGAATGCGTCATCGAGCATACGACGATATCGTATACATTCTCTATAGAGGAATGCCGTATCTGGAGCGCATCACTGTTAAAGAATGTCAATCAAAGCGAGATTGTAACGAAATTATTTCGAATAAAATGATTTCCATCCTAAAGGAAACGATGTCCGTATGATATCGATGTGGTTTATTAGAAAAAAATATGAAAAGAAGTTGGATACTACGTTGTGATAAATGGTAGTAAAGTATACGCGAAAAAAAAAAAAAGAAAGAAAGAAAGAAAGAAAAGAAACAAAAAGAAAAATGTAAATATCGAAAAAGTAAGCTGCTCTTCTCCTTTCTTCCCTATATATACATACATATGCTATAATATACGTATATATGCGTATAAACATAATGCTATGATGAAAAAGACACGTGACATGTCCATTAAACGCATGAGAAATTTTTGCTAGTATGCTATTGCGATTAGAGCGTGGGCGAGGACACACGCGTCACATACGCGTCGTCGATAAAGAATCACATACCTGTTCGCATCCTCGTAATTCCTCTAAGTATATAGGTAATATCTACTTGCATATATCTATACATACATATGTGTAACATTCTATGACGCAATATCGGATGATCTTGTAAAGACTCGAAAGAGAGAGAGAGAGAGAGAGAGAGAGAGAGAAAATAATGGATGGAAATAAACGAGAGGGCGAGATATCGAATGTCGACGCAGAAAAGGTTCCCGATCGATCCGGTCGTAACCTTTCGAAGGAGCTAAGGAGGTACCTCAAACCCCCATCCACCTTTTTTTCCTTTTCTTTTTGTTTTCTCTCTCTCTCTCTCTCTCTCTCTCTCTCTCTCTCTCTCTCTCTCTCTCTCTCTTCTCTCTTTCCTTTCGAAGAAAAAACAGAAAGATCGAAAGGTTATAATATTTACCGTGTCGTCGAAGACCAGATTGACCTGACGATGGTCGGTTATAGGATGTGGATGCGGTGGCCGATGCATCCTTCCTCCTCCATGGACCTCCGGATAGTCGATCTGTAAGTAAGAAAGAAAGAAAGAAAGAATGAAAGAAAGATAAAACATGAATTCAATAATTATAGTAGAAAGAGAAATAGTATATATTTAAATCGAAAATAAATATGTAGATCAAGTAAGTTCAGACAACTTTTCAAAGTTTCAAAGTAGTTTATCGTCGTTTTTATATCGTAATTCCATCGGGGAAAAAAAAATTCTAACTGCATAGATATCCGCGAACAGAATTCTCGCCGTATGTAATCTACGTTAAATCGTTATCGTAAAAACGGCTACCGGAACTCTCTCTCTCTCTCTCTCGCTCGCTCTCTCTCTCTCTCTCTCTCTCTCTCTCTCTCTCTCTCTCTCTCCATTTTTTCCGGAATAAACATTTCATTTTGAAAGGGATTATATCGGAAATATATCCTGTATGTTTGTGGATATGTATGTTTGTTTATATATATATATATATATATATATAATATATACATTGTTTTTCTTCGATAATCTATATCACGATCATGCCACCTGCCGCTAATGGAAGCTCCGGGAACTCAGCTGCATCAACTCTTTCCGCATCACTGTGTACGATGGTTGCAACGGCGACGGTTTTTTCGGATGACAGTTATATGGCTCGCAGTTTGTGTAGTTGAATAATAGAAAAAAAGAGAGAGAGAGAAAGAGAAAGAGAGAGAGAAAAAGAGAGAAAAAGCAAGAGACAACGAGAGACGTATACGTGCTTCGGGCCGGAACTCGTAGGCCGGACTTCCGGCAGATACGCTGGTTATACTCGCCATTCAAAGAACCGCTCCCTCGTGATTCGATTGTCCGAACAAATATTTAGCCAATTTCGGAGCGAAAGATAGTTTCACCGGGCAGACGATGACGAGAGCTCATATGAGAATAAGATATGTATGTATGTATGTATGTATGTATGTATGTATGTGTATATATATATATATATGCAGAAGAGAGATTTCCGCAAAAGCGAAAATTATTTGTCGCCAGCGGAGCATGAATGTTTAGCTACGGTACGAAACAATACAACGTCCATGCGAAAATTACAATGGAAAAGGTCGTTCGTTCTTAATTATAATATACACACAATATATATATATATATAAAAACATACGTATATATATATATACATATATGTAAGTATATATGCACATATATCGTCACGCACTGTCTTCTCTAAGGACATCACCTTGATAAGCTTTTTTTTTTATTTTTTTTTTTTTTAAAGAAAACGCTACGATAGATATTTCCTTTGATAATAGTGATTTTTTTCTTTTTTTCTTTTTCTTTTTTTTTTTACATAGCAAACAAAAAAGATACGGTATGTGTACTCGATAGAGAATATAATTTAATATCCTACCTGATAAAATTCATTTGAATTGTCAGAATAAAAATGAAAATAAATAATCATAATAAACACATATATAATATTTCGATGACAAGAGACCCTTCATTATGCATGGTAAATGAGAAATATGAAAATTGTGCGATTTCAATCGCGTTTATTAGCGATTTCGTTTGGATTACGTAATCTGACACGCTACGAAAATGCAATCGCAATGACCGAGTAAAAGGCGCAAGCGTGATGCAATTTGTAAACAAGCAACGGAAAAATGTGCATGCATTTCCATTACGTAATACAACGGATTATAAATAATTATTGTTTTGGGGCCGCGCGAGCGGATATGGGGGACGAACGCGAGTTATCGTTAATAACGACGATATATCTCTATATCAACAAAATATCGATAATCGAAAACTGATAAAGTATCGTTGAGTTTTTGATGAATACACCGGGAGCTTTCCATTCCTTGTTCGTTAAAGCGAAACTATTTGAAAAGCAAGAGAAAAATGATAAAAAAGGAGTAAAAAAAATACCATGTATCGTCAAATAAAATATAACGAGGATATTATGAAGATTTAATTAAATTCTCTATGTAAAAAAAAAAAAAAGAAGAAAGGAAGAAAAAGAAATAAAGAAAAAAAATAAAACAAGTGTTATATATATATATATATATATATATATATATATATATATATATATATAATGGTAATAATATTTATCATGATATAAAGATGGAGATATAATAATTCCTAACACGTTTACATTTTTATCTCAAAGATGGAAGATCGATCTTTATAAAAGATAAATAGAGAAAGAGATAGAGGGAGAGAGAAAGAGAGAAAGAGACAAAGATCTTTCTAAAAACGATGCATCTCGACAAAGTATCCAAGCGAGGAGTAAGAAATAATCATTATACGTTCCTCCTCCCCTCCCCCTCCTCCACCTCCTCCTCCTCCTTCTTCATCTCCTTGCTGTCTTCCGTCTGTTCCCATCGTTACTCGTGCTCTGCGTGGGCCTGCCAGAGCTACGTGGGCGTTTACATACGTATGTATGTATGCGTTACGGTGCGCGTACGCACGCGAACACCACTGCATTTCTTCCTATCTGTTCGCTCGCGAACGTAAAGAAACAATTTGGAATACTTTGGATTTCCATTTTCCAATGAATTTCTATCAGGACAAATCGTATTTTACGTTTGTCGCTAAACAATGTTTAAAAACCATTCTATTTAATAAAAAAAAAAAAATTATTTACGTAGAACTCATCCGTGGAATGAAAAAGAGGGGGAGAAAAAAAAAGAAAAAAGGAAAAAAAAATAGAAAAAAAAGGAAAAAAAAATGATTTTCGAAAATATCCATCTTTCTTTTTTCTTTTTTCTTTTTCTTTTTTTTTTTTTTGTGCTTTTTACCTCGGAAGAAGCGATGGACAAAGTCCTAGGTGTACCAGGCCAGCTTCTGGACAACGACCGTCCTTTCCTTTTCCTCACCACGACTCGAGGTCGTCCAGTCCGATTCATATATTTCAACATCTCGTTAACTTTGGTTACCCCGTATCAATTCTTAATCAAATCTTCGTCACAACTCGTCACAAACGTAATAGATTATCACAGCACATGAATTTTTCTATTCCATTCATCGTTTCGCCGATAATAATAAAATACTAATGTAACACAGAGATAAAGACACTTTATATATATAATTCACCACGATCGTTTTCTCCTTCTTATTCCGTTCAAAACTTCCACTTGTATATATATATATATACTTGTATATATACATATATATATATATATATATACAGTTCTTGTTTATCGTCCTGGCTCGTTAGCTCTCTCTCTCTCTTTCTTTCTTTCTTTCTTTTTTCTTTCTCTCTTTCTCTCTCACTCTCTTTCTCTTTAGATTTCTCTCTATTCGTAATCATACGACCGTCAAAGATAAAGAGAAAGAAAGAGAAAGAGAATATGTTTGATTTGTTCGCGATGAACCCCGCACTATTATCTCTCGAAAGAAAAACAAGTTCGAAGATGTCGACAATTTCGTATACGACCTTCTTCCATTGAATCGAAACAATTCGTTTGAGTGATATAACGATATATCGAGAGAAAGAGATAAAGATAAAGATATATATATATATATATATATATATATATATATATATATAGACAGAGAAAGAGAGAGAGAGAGATATAGAAAGATAGATATAGAAAGAGAGATATAGAAAGATAGAGATAGAGAAATATATATATATACATATATATATATATAAATATAGAGAGAGAGAAAGAGAGAGAGAGATAAACGGAATGACTTAAAAGATCCACGCGTCGCGCGTCGCGCCGGCGAACTGAATCGTCCACGATTCTTAAGAGGGCCAAAGACCGAGTCGAGTCACGTGACTCTACACACGCAGTAACGTACGCCTCATATCATTCCTTTTCGTCTTGGGTCAGATCTGCTCGGCGGCGTCGGACGCGCTGTCGCCGACTAGAAATAAGCCACGCGAGCGATGTGACTAAGAAACTTTCATCTTTACGATTACCGTACATCATTTCTCTTTTTCGAAAATTTTAACGATATTGATAGGAGAAATATCGAAAAAGGGAGAAGGGAGAAGGGAGGATGAAGATTTATCGATCTTCTCATTCGTCCTTCGTATTGTATCGTATATATTACGAAAAATGTTAAAACGAATTTATATAAGGACCATCCCCTACTACGTGAAATCGTAATAAGATAAGGGAATCTCATTCTAATATCACGAAGTTAAAATTGTATGAATTAATTTGTAAGTATTAAAGGAGAAAGGAAATGAAAATCGATCGGAGAAAAGATGTTAGGTTTCTTTTTTAAAATCCTCTTTTCTTCAAGATGCATCCTGAATACTCTACGATCCGTTAAGCCTATAAGATAAGAATCTTTAAGATAAGAAATGAAGATAAGGAGACAATGGATCGAGTGTAGAAGGAGATAGATCGCGTAAAACCGATATATATGGTTCTTACAGTAAGAGGAGAAATAACTCTCGTCGTAAGTTATTTATGTAGCTACATACCGTAAAGAGGTAAATCTCTTAGATAATGAAAAAAAAAAAAAAATATCGAGGATAACTTTGTTAACGAGCGAATAGACGAAAAATCTTATATTACTAGCGTTGATCACAAAATATGAATTATACGAAATTGGGTAAAAAGATAAGAGCAAAATTATAACGCGATCGCACTCGTTGCACTCTATGCGTAACAACTAAAAAAAAAAAAAAAAAAAAAAAAAAAAAAGAATTTTCTTTTTTCATTAATATTTTCGTTCGTTCTCGAATGTTGAAAATTTCTTATCTCTCGCTTAAATCGATCTTACGTCTCATTTATAGTCAATCGAACGAGAAGAAATATCAGTCGTCCTTTTGTCGAAAGAAGAGCATTAAAAAAAATAAAAATAAAAAAAGAGAGAGGGAGAGAAAGAGAGAGAGAAATATTCAAGACGAATCGTTTTTATAATTAAAAAATACCAACTGCGATGTACCCATTGTTACTAGCAAAGACGATTATTTTCAATTCCAACAGCGAACTCCAATTACGTGAAAAGTACAAAATAAAATGTCCTATTACCGTGATTTACGATCGAGAAAGATTTGTTTCTGACGGAAACGAAAGTGAATTTAAGGG